AATAAGTAAACAAAAAAGTTTATTCCAAACGTTCGGAATGAATAAAGAAATGCAGCCAATACGGCTTTTCAGCGACTGCTTTTTTGACATTTCCTTTTGTCTGTTTATATTTTAGTTGTTGCCTTTACGGCTTCAGTCAAATTCAATATGCCAAGTTTTTGTGATGTTTGCGGCAGTGGCAGTGAATTTACATAGAATTTGGGCTAAACTGAGCAGTACTGCTAGCTGCCACTGCTGTATTGTGAGACGCTTCATTGAACACCACACTTTCGAAAAAACAGCTGATTTCAAAAACTGCCGCTGCCACTGCCACTGCGTTATTGCATTTTGGGCTTAAGAATAAAATATGCAAATGCTTTCTTTTTAACCGTTTAGAAATTCGCTTGAAAATTTAATCTTGCCACGTCAAAAGATAATTTTACGCCCTGCATTTTTATTTCAGTAATGACTCCAACTAGTTAATTTAGGAATATTCCATCTTCGGCTGCACTTGAAGGTCTTGCACAAACTTGCTATTAAGGAATTTATATCATTATTATTTAATATATTTATATAATATATGTATAAATTAGGTTATATTTACTCGATTGGCACAGCGCTTTTAGAAAGTATAATTTTTTTATTGCAGAATATTAAATCGCTTTGCACAAAGTGCAGTGAGCACACAAAAGGGCGGTTCGGCAAGTCCCTTTGGTTTATGCAACAAGCCTCTATCCATTTTTTCCGTACATATGGCAATTGTGGAAAATTAAAGAATTTAATTTTGGTTCCTTTACAAAGATGGATAGTGTTTGGACAACCGTTAAAGCAGCAACTCATCCTTTTGAATTCACTTATTGAAATTAAAGCTCGTTCTGCAAATCTGGAAGAAAATAAATTAATTTAATAATTTTTATAATTACAGGCGCACGCAATCTAGGAGGCAAATTCTTAGAACGTGTCAGCTGACTCGATCTATCTTATGAGAGCACCATTTTTTTTGCCGTAAATTCGTGTCAGCTGATTTCTCTCTCCCTAGTTATATTAGTCAATAACGCAGAACTTATACTTAAACGCTGTCTGTAAAAGCAGAATTTTGTCGATTACTGGAGACCGCAGTGAATATCCAGAAACTACTTCAGTATTGCTTACTACAGTGTGGAAACTCATCCATGCCTTTTTATAAACTTACCTATATAATTATATAAACTACTTATTTTTCAACGAAAAACCTTATGCTGAATTTCCACTAGGCATTGATATGACGAAAAATGTATGCCATTTAAAAAAATGCTATGTGGAATTAAACTTGGAGTGCAATAGGGTATAGTCGTTGCGCTGGGTATGCAGTTACAGTTGCATGGCTATACTCAATCCCGACTCTTGCGTCCTCGTTCGCGCACTCTTGGCAACGTGAGCAACCCATGTGCGAGATGCGGTAACAAATCCGATTGGAGCCTTGGGTCACGAAAGAAAGAGAGGGAGCTTCGGTGGGGCCACTCCGACTTATTCGGTTTAAGGGCTCACTGAAGTCTGCAGCGACTGTCCCCCAGTAGGTGCGGCTACAAGCGGGTGTCTACTTGGAGCAAGCGGCTCGCTATATAAACGTGTATTTGGTTACGAAACCACTCCCGTCCCAGCAATGGGTTGTGCGCTGGGCTTGGGACCCGCCACGTAAAAACCACTTGCAGTGAAGAAGCATGGCAAAGCCTCGGATGAGACCCCCCCTTATGATGACGACCACGGTAAACGTCTAAAGGACTACGATTTGAGGGCATGCACCTGGAATGTCCGGACCCTTAATGGGGAAGGTGCCTCTGCCCGGCTGGTTGATGTCCTCGTAAGGACAAAAGCTGACATCACCGCCATCCAAGAAATGCGTGCAAGCAATGTCTAGGGCATTGCGACGTCTACTACAGCTGCCATGTAAAGGGGCTCAAATTCGGAGTTGGATTTGTGGTGGGAGAGAGACTCCGTCGCCGAGTACTCGCGTTCACCCCGGTGGACGAGCGTCTAGCCACAATCCGCATCAAAGCGAGATTCTTCAACATCTCGCTCATCTGCGCCCTTGCCCCGACGGATGAGAAGGATGAGGCATCCAAGGATCTCTTCTGTGAGCGCTTGGAGCGCACGTACGAGCGCTGCCCCCGTCATGATATCAAAATCGTGCTTGGCGACTTCAATGCCAGGGTGGGACAAGGAAGGGATCTTTGGAACCACCGTCGGAAAATTCAGCCTCCACGACGAAACGTCCGACAACGGATTGAGGCTGCACGACTTCGCCGGGGCCCGAAACATGGTAGTATGCAGTACTAGGTTCAAGCATAAAAAGATCCATCAAGCTACGTGGCTGTCTCCGGATCGAAAAACGAGAAACCAAATCGATCATGTGGTGATAGACGGAAGGCACGCTTCCAGTGTTTTAGACGTACGCACACTTCGAGGCCCAAAGATCGACTCGGACCACTATCTTGTTGCAGCCAAGATACGCACCCGCCTCTGTGCAGCAAAAAATGTGCGCCGAAATATGCAAGGAAAGCTTAACGTCGAAAAGCTGCAAACACAACAGACAGCCAGCGCTTTCGCTTCTCGACTCTCACACCTGCTCTCAGAGAGCACTCTTAACAAACCGACATATGCGAGCAGTGGAACCACATTTCCCGCTCATTAAGTACCGCCGCCGAAGAAGTAGTCGGATTTCAGCGAGCCCGAAAGAACAACTGGTACGATGAGGAGTGTAAGGAAACTGCAGAGAAAAAAGATGCTGCCTACAGGGCCACGCTGCGATCGGGCGCAACGCGCGCTATGTGGGACCGCTATAGAGTTCTGAAGAGGGAAGCGAGACGTATTTGCCGCAATAAGAAGAGAGAGGCCGAAATACGTGAGTGCGAAGAGCTTGAAATGCTGGCCGACAGGAAGAATGCCCGAAAATTTTACCAGAGAGTTAGGCGACTTACGGAAGGTTTAAAGACCGGGGCGTACTGCTGTAAGAACAATAATGGCGACCTAGTAACTGATGTCCAGAGCGTACTTAAATTATGGAGGGAACACTTTTCCGCCCTACTAAATGGTAGCAGCACGGGAGGTTGTAGAGAAGAAGAACCCGAGCCCGCAGGCGATGATGACGGAGTCGACGTTCCACCGCCTGACTATGACGAGGTACGTATAGCAATAACGCGACTGAAAAACAACAAAGCCGCTGGAGCTGACAGCCTGCCAGCTGAGCTATTCAAGTACGGCGGCGAGGAGTTGATAAGGTGCATGCATCAACTCTTGTGCAGAATATGGTCAGATGAACGCATGCCCGACGACTGGAATTTAAGTGTGCTCTGCCCAATACACAAGAAAGGTGACCCCGCCATTCGCGCCAACTACCGCGGGATCAGCCTTCTATGCATAGGTTACAAGGTATTATCGAGCGTATTGTGTGAAAGACTGAAGCCCACCGTCAATGAACTGATTGGGTCTTATCAGTGTGGCTTTAGACCTGGCAAATCCACCATAGACCAGGTATTCACAATACGCCAAATCTTGAAAAAGACCCTCGAGAAAAGGATCGACACTCACCACCTATTTGTCGACTTTAAAGCCGCTTTTGACAGCACTAAAAGGAGTGGCCTATACGCCGCTATGTCTGAATTTGGCATCCCCTCAAAACTAATACGGCTGTGTAAAATTACGTCGAGCAATACCACCAGCTCCGTCAGAATTGGGAAAGACCTCCCCGAGCCGTTCGCCACAAAACGGGGTTTCAGACAGGGCGACTCCCTTTCATGAGACTTCTTTAATCTGATGTTGAAGAAGATAATAAGAGCTGCAGAACTGAACCGCTCAGGAACAATTTACTACAAGAGCGTGCAATTGCTGGCTTATGCCGATGACATCGACATCATCGGCAACAAAAACCGCGAAGTCTGTTCTGCCTTTTCCAAGTTGGATAGGGAAGCAAAGCGAATGGGTCTGGTGGTAAACGAGGACAAGACGAAGTACCTCCTGTCATCAAACAAACAGTCAGCACATTCGCGCCTTGGCACCCGAAGTTTTATAAAGGGCGGAAAACACCATACAAGCGGCTTGTCAAACATTCTTCAAACCTACTTTTCCCATTTCGCCATACACCATGCAAACATGACTCATTCAAGCAAGGAATTTTAGTTTTCTTCCAGTTCACAATGTAAAAGGGTTTGGTTTTCTTCGATTTTTCCCTCTTGCGTCCTCATTCGGTGAAAATTCCGTTGCGAATGAGGCGATTTTATCATGCACAACGTAAGCGGTTTGACCAAACGTCAACATGGCGGCCAGAGAATCAAAAAATTTTGATTTTTGTTCACATTTCCCTCAAACAGCTTGTGAAACCTTCAAACACCCCCATACACAACATATGTAAATACTAGCTTTAAGCAAACGGATATTTCGCTTGGTTTGTCAAGCCGCTTGTGTTGGGTTTTTAACCGACTTCCAAAAAAGGAGGAGGTTATCAGTTCGTCGGAATATTTTTTTTTTTTTTCGGCTTATATGTATGTTACCGCATAACTTTGGACCGAATGGTAGTGACTCAGAGGTGGTCCCATACTAATATGGTTGAGATCCGATCAGTGGATCTTGAGATATATATATATATATATATATATTATTTTTATATGGGAGTTGAAGTCGGTTTTTTTTTTGCTAAAAATTACTTGTTCACTTTTAAGCACATCTGCATGTGCTGCTAAATATTCAAAATGTTATCGATAATTATTTTCATTAAGTCGTTATATTTTCAACTTATTTTGAACCTGTAAATCTCGATAACGAATGGATAGAACACGCATTGTTCGATCATAAGGATATTCATATTGGTTCTTCATTAGATCCAGAAAATTATATGAAACAAGTTTTTGAATTAAAAGATTCTTCAGGTTCATATAAGTTTCCTAATTTAAAAAAAATATATCTACATTATTAAATAGCCCTTTTCTAATGTTTCAGTAGAACGTATATTTAGTAGTTTAAAAATGTGTAGGACTGACTTGACTGGTCGTCACTGATGAGCACTGATGATACGCCATCTTGTTTCGCTGGAAAACGAGCGAAAAGTAAACCAAGCAAAGAAAACAATGAAAACCAAAATTATTGTCAGCCACTTTAAGCACACAATTTAGGTAATATTAATCATTAAAACGCTTTAAAATGTGTTGTCATGTTGAATTTACTCTTATTTAGTTAAATAAAAGTGTAATATAGTGGTGCTTGTGATGTGAACAAGCGCTTAGCTGACGAAGCAATCCCTCCATTCAGTCGTAACTCTCACCCCGGTCCACAATGTGTTATTTCCATATTCTAGAAAATATTAATTAAATTATTTCATTTCGGCAAATTTCAAAACAACGTCAAAAAAGTTTTTAGAAATTCCTGATTAATACGAAACAATAACAACTACAAAACTTAAATCAAAGTAGGGCCAAACGGGTTTTGATTTGGAAGATTATCAAGCGCAATAACATTTATACTAGGTTCACATATAAGTAGATTATCCTCATTTTCAAGCTTAACACCCTAATCTGTAATTATAACAAGAGATTAGCCATATAAAATTTGTCCCTTGTTAATCTGTAATTATAAAATAATCTCAGATTTAACCGATAACTTTTCGGTGTCCATCCTAGTTTTATCGATTGTTTTTGCGAAAAAAGAGGAGAAATGCCAAATGTAAAAATAAACAAAAATGTACGCTAGCAAGTAAAAGAGGTTTGTAAAGGTATTTTTAATAAAATGTTAAGTTAAAATATATTTATATTGCTTATTATAGTAGAAAAACGCGAACACGGTGGCACAGGGAAGAAACATAACTTTTCCTTGAGATGTGAGCACAACAAATTTGACGGCTAATAATCTCAGATTTGCATGTGTAAACGGGTGATTAAAAGACGAGCTTTGATTGAGATAATATTAGGTGCGTTCATTTAAAATCTCCAGCAGAAACCAACCAACTTCGGCGAAATGTCATCTGTTCTCTCACAAGAGAGAAATATCCAAAATAGTACGCGAACAGAAAATTTGCAGAAACTTGCAAGTTAGACGAACAGCTGATATAATTTTTGTTTACATACAAAAGTGTAAAATTTAAAACGTACGAAAAGTCATCGCAAAGTGTTATACTGACACAGTTTACTGATTAAACAAATGATTACTTATTTCTTACAAGTTTAATTAGTCGCATTTTGTAATTTTTATCTTCCAACCCATCAAATTCAATTTTGTGATTTGCGTAAATGCCAACCAGCTGTTTTTGATCAGCTGTTTTCCTGTTGGCAAATTGCTGTTGGCAAAAATTTTTCCAACAGAAACCAGCAGCTTCCCCTCAAAATGAAATGTCAGTTTGCTCTCTCAATTTCCCCTACTTTGCAAGTTTTTTGCGTACGCGAACGCAAAAACTTGTAAGTTTTGGTTAAACATGAACAATTAACAGCTACGCGAACGAACCTATTGATATGTGAACATAGTTTTAAACATGTATATTTGAATCTTAATCTCAATGTTTAAGTTGTTGGTGTTATGTGATTTATGCAACAATTTCTAAAATA